AGGAGAAGCGGAGGACTAGCTTATAAATCTATTTTTGTTCTCAAAATGAGCAATTAACTCCTGCACTGCAGGTGTAGACCACCTGAAAGGAATAATGTTTTATTTACTTGGAGTTGGGCTTTAAAGATCTGCACACAAGTAATACAAAATGACTTAAAAGCACCAATCCTCTTTCTATTCCAATCAAACCGTACCTGGGCAAAGAGATCATTGTAAGGTCTGTTCTACCCCCTTCTGCTATCACAGGTCTCAACCCTAGACAGCAGCTGTGAAAACTCTGTGATAAATATCCACTTGTGATCCCTTCGTTCGTCTTTTCCAAATTAACTGGACTAACATGGGTGAGGTCAATAGACAAAAATATTTGTTCCAGGCAATCGGGTGTGCCTGCATCCAGTAAGACTGTGTAATAATTAACTATAAATATGAATTTTTACAGCTGAAATCTATATATTGCTAGAGAACTAGGATATAAAGATGATGCAAATAGCTTTCAATAGCCTCTGTACACAAATACTATCAAATGAGACATGGTTTAATACAGAGACCCGACACCAGAACTTAATTTATTTTTTACATTTTCTGACAGTACAACCAAAATGCTATTTAGATTTCTCCACTTTTTTAAAGTGCATTTTCAGCTAAACACCCCCCCCCCCCCAAAAAAAAAAGTTGTATGTTGCTGTTGTGCTTAGGATGTGGTATTTTTATTTTTACCTTTATGTTCATCTCGTGTTCCTTCCAGTAGCACACTTACTGTCACAGGCTGACAATGCTCGCTCACCATCCTGTATGTATGAAGGAGTAGTGTTGCCATCCTAGGCTGTTTATTCCTTTTTTTCAACAACAGAACACCTCCAACTATCCTCATCTCCATAAAAGAAGGGGGAAGTGTTCTGTAGTACAGCAGAGGAAAATTCTGAGAACAGTGGTTGAAATTTCTGTGCTGTAAAGACAGCACGATCATCTGACTACAGGTAGTTAGGGGCTTACTGGATTTCTGGCAGATCGACACGTATTAGATCAGGCACTTATAGTACAGATAGGCATACTATTGAAGGCTTTTTGTTAACAGAAAGGAAAATCAAGAATACAAATAGGAAAAGTTTATTGTTAGGCTTTACATACACTTTAAATTTTTTTTCTTTTTCACGTAAAAAGCCTAGTAATTTTAATAGGACTCTGATGGTTCCGTGAAAGTACTAGATTCCTCCCAAAGGGCTTAGGAACATTGACATATCTGCTGCTAAGAGTTTAGAAAAACGTCATATTTGCAGTGAGTGCTGCAGGCTCCTACTGTCAGCCATGAGGCCGCACCCCAAGTAATGGTGGCGGGGTGCAGCAACCAGCTCCTGTTGGAACTGCACAATCAGGGATCCCACACTCCCAGAATGCAATTCCCTTGGAAATTACTAAGCATTTACCTGTCAAGGTAGCCAACCTATTCATTCCAAACGCGCAGTCTTGTTTTTTTGGGGGGGCTTTCTTCCTGCTGAGTCTGGATTCTGGACACCGCCTGTCCCCAGAGATGGAACCTATTACCGAGGGGTGCAGAAGAGGGACTCTCCTCTCCAGCCAGCTAATGACCCTTCCGTTCTGTTGTCCCAGTCGAGAAGATTCTTTTGAATCTTGGAATATTCAAGCAAAGCATACAGAAAGTGGTGTTAGATTTTAGAAGTGCCAGTCTGAGAACTTCTAGGGATCGCTCCTGTCTCCATGCAAATCTGATCAGGAATGCAGAAAGGGATGGTAAATTTTAAATGCACAAACCTAGGGACCTTTGAGGACCGTTCCTGCCCTAATGAAAATGACAGAAAGCACAGAGAGATAAAGGGTAGGAAGGATCTTCCTGTCCCTTAAATGATGAGCATTTTTTTGGTCAGGGTTGCTATGGAGTAGAAATTGGAATTTAGATTTTTATCTCAAATGTTCAAAGCTCTGGTGTCCAATGTGCACCTCTTTGGTACATAATGTGTGGCTCTGCCTACTCAGCAGTCTGTAGTGAGCATATTGATTAGGGTAATGGCATGGACCTCTATTAGCCGCATGTAACATGTTCCCAGTTTCATATGGTCTTCTGCAGCATATCCCCAGTCTCAAATGTCCACACTGACCATTATTTCCTCTATTAGGTCTGAAGTTTCTGACACTCTCAAGCATTACATATCCTGGATTATGTGAGGCCCTTTGGTGATGTCGGGGGCCACATTTGAGGCCCCCTTTAGCTCATAAGTTGACAACTACTGGTTTAAGCCCTGGTTCATATCCAAGCGGGTGGATGTGGGTGCAGGAATCGCACAGATAACCACACCTGCAGTGGACACATGCTGCTGTGAGAAAACAAGCGGGACTCCTAGGACTTTATTTATTTGGTTGCAGTTCTACTTTCTCTCTTCCATAATTCAAGAGCAATGTTATGTGCACGGGTCACAATATACAGGAGTTGATTTACTAAAGCTGGCAAGTACAAAATCTGGTGCAACTCTGCACAGAAACCAATCAGCTTCTGTTTTTTTTTTTTTTTTCCTTTCTTAGCTTAAAAGTGTTACTAAACCCTGGACCCTGAATTCACTATATCTGGTCTCCCCAGACCCTGCAGTCACTATATCCGGTCTCCCAGGACCCTGCAGTCCACATATCCGGTCTCCCAGGACCCTGCAGTCCACATATCCGCTCTCCCCGGACCCTGCATTCACTATCTCCGCTCTCCCCGGACCCTGCATTCACTATCTCCGCTCTCCCCGGACCCTGCATTCACTATCTCCGCTCTCCCCGGACCCTGCATTCACTATCTCCGCTCTCCCCGGACCCTGCATTCACTATCTCCGCTCTCCCCGGACCCTGCAGTCACTATATCTGGTCTCCCACAGTACACAGAACATGGAAATGCAATTATTTTAGTAAATATAAACTGCTAAATACCTTTTCTTATCAGCACTTAGAGCAGTCTTGTGACTTCTGCAGAGCACTGATTAAAGCTTGTAGGAATTTTCTTTCTACTCTAGGAAGATGCATAACCCCTGACACTGTCTGGGCAGTGCTGATCACATGCACCCTCCCCCCCCCCCAAAAAAAAAAAACCCTAACAATAAACACTAAACTGAGCATGTGACTACAGGTCCAGTCTCGTCTTATCAGGTGGACATTTGAACAAGAGGAGGGGCAGAGAAAACAGGACCAAACAGCCTTTTTACACAATGCAGAGGATTAGCCCCTTAGGTTCCACGGTGAGTATAACAAGCATGCTTTACTGCATATACAGACTGATATTACTGTTGTGGATTTAGTAACACTTTAATTGAACAAGCTGAAGTCAAAGCTGATTGCCTACCATGCACAGCTGAATGAGATTGTGCACTCTTCAGTTTTAATAAATAAGCCACACCATCTTTAATCCAGTGTACATATTCTAGCAAAAAAAAAATCAATACAAGATCCTACATAAGTAATCTTTTTAAACAATCCCTAAAATGAATACAAAAGTTGGGATAAGACTCGACCATTACCCACTATGAAAGTAGACTTTAGAGAACACTGTACTGTTCTGTACAGTAAGGCACCTCAATACAGTATACAAACTTGGGGTCTGCAAATTGTGCACATTGCTACTAATAAATATTAAAGCTTTGTCGCCATACAGAGGAAAGCTGTATCCATGCGATTTACATTCCAGTGATCAATACAGCACACTTACAATCAAAGGGTTGATCTAGCAGTTATCCCCAGTGATGCACCGATATGTTGGCCGCCGAAAATTATCAGCTGAAAATAGAATTATTGGCATTTTGCTGACAAGAAAAAAAATGCAGATTATTTTTTTAAATAAGTTCACCTTTCATAGCATGTTACACCCATAGTCAGGGTGTAACATGTAACATGTTATGAAAGGACTGGAGCTCCACCCATCCAGCCAAGTCATTTATTCACAATATTCTGTGAATACAAAAACTACAAATCCCGACAGCTTTAGAGGGTGTCAGCTTTCTCAATGATCCACCACGGAGCTGTAAGCTCTGTGGCAGTTCATTGTTTCTTCCCGTCAGCGTGTATCAGCTTGCTCGTATGGGCTGTATGGGCAAGCAGATATAATGACAGATCTTCAGGAGTCCTGCAAGGCACCAGTGATCTGCTGATTGCTGGTGCAATGCTTTCCAGACTCCTGCAACAAAAAATAATAAATGCACATTTTTTAACCTGCAAGTTATCCTTCAACTTATTGTGCAGCACATTACATACTTTCAATAAAAGTTATTTTACATTACTGGAGATATATTTTTTTATATATATATATATATATATTTTTTTTTTAATTTGGGTTTTCGGCCAAGTGCACCTTGAATTTTCAGTTTAGAACTTTCATTTCAGTGCACCATTAGTAAACCCTAACTTGCATTTTTCATAATCTCATAGCGGCATCTAAAAGAAACTTTTCACACAGCAAGGCACCTGTGTAACTAGACAGTGAGGAGCTCCCCTGAACCATGTACTGCATTACTGGACCTAAGGCAGCGGTGCTGTAAATCTGTTTAGCTTCACTGCATCATATACAGTAGTCAGCAAAACTTTGGTAATAGCTGCTTTCATCACAGTCCAATCTCACACGCACTTTGTTTATCTTCACACATATCCATCATCTCTTCTTATTGTGGCAGAGATTCCTCAGCTTTTCAGAACAACTTTGTGCAAAAGAACTAATCTAAATAAGTATAATAGAAAAAAGTCCTTTATCACTGCAACACTATCTGTCACGTTGCATATTACAGCAGGTTATATCCCTTTCTTGGCCAGATGCCCCCCCCCCCCCCCCATACTTTCTCTAGAAAAAGTGGAAAACCTGATTAGTGCATAGAACATTGCTAGTGCAAATCATGAAAAAATAGGTCTATTTGCAATGTGCATCACTGTTCTGTTCAATAAATCTTCATGTAAAAAAATACAGTTTGTATAGTCCACATATTTGTACAGTTTTATTTCACTCCTGGTGAAGAATGATAGAAATGTTATAGCAGCTGCGGCTCTTCTCCTTCAAAGGACCCTCTAAGTGTTGAAAACATTCCAACATGTGTCACCATGTTGGGCTCCAGTGCCCAAGCCCATTCCCCCCTTCTCCGGAGCTCTTGGTACAGGGCAATATCCTTGGCATAACCTGGCTTACACACCATTTCCTTCAAGTAGGACAGAGTCCTTCGGGCAGACGCCTTTGAGAATAGCATAGCCGGCGTGCAGCACTCTGTGACAGGCACAACATTGTAAAGGGCTGGCGAAATCCTCCGCAGTTCCAGGAGGTAGTGGCGCCCTGCTAGCTCTGCCAATATCATGGCATAAATAGTAAATGCCACAAATACCCACCAGCTAAACTGCTGCTGGCGCAAAGTGAGAGTATACACCCAGGTAAGGACCAGTCCTGCTAACCCTCCTAGACCGACCCACTCCAAAATCCGCATGGGCTCTGGGTTGAGGTATCCCTGAAGCCTTTCTGGGTGGTAGAATTTTACGTACAGGCCACCCCCTAGTGGCTCCTCAGGAAAGCGCACTTGCACTAAATGAAAGAATGCATTAAAAACATCTGTTAAAGGGACCGCATCATCCTCCACGAGTAACACATATTCTGGGTTGTAGACCTCCAATGTGTGGGAAAGGCAGAAGGCATAATCCTGCTTCTCCTGTTCAAATCGGTTTGGGGCTTCACCCACATGCTCGGTCCAATGCCGAGCTACCATTGGCAACAGGTGGGAGAGGAGGCAGGCATCAGAGTGGTCCTCGGGAAATGAATCAACGTTACAAATTAAAATCTGAAATGTGGAGCAATCTTGGCCACACTCGGACATCCGTTCTACAAAACCACGTGTTACCTGAAGGAGGTAATGATATTCAGAGCGGCGTCTTGTTGTAATTATGGTGACAACTAAAGTGGTGGTGCCGCTGACACGTGATGAGCGAAGGCTCCCAGCTTGCCTGTGGACACAGGGCACAGATGTATTAGGAGGAACTGTACTGGATGTAGAGACAATCTGATGGAAATGCTGCAAGGCATTAGAACCATCCTGTAGGCTTCTGTGTAGGAATTCACGACTCAAACGCTTGAGGTTTATGTTGTCGAGAAAACAAGGGGGAGTAAAGGAGATTGCGGAAACAGATGGGGGCTAAGAGTAGAGTAAACACAATGAGGAGCATGAAACGAAAGCGAGGAGACCTGAAAATGGCTGACCAACGCATGACTGATGAAGGGCGCTGCGTTCTCACTCCATCAAATTCCCAATTTCCTTTTTATCGTGTTCCAGTCTGTATCTTCTTTCTGCTCACGACTGCAAGCCCATAAAATGGTCATCTTCTACTAATCCCAGGCTTGTGTTTTCCTGGAGACAGCCACAGCGTCCCTCGGCTGAACCTCTGGAACATTCTGCAATATAAATCACAAAAATCAAATTTTTGGCAAGAGTTTCAAAGTGTTCCTGTTGCTGGAAAGGCTAAAAATTGTGAGAAAGTCATTTGATTCATCCATACACGCTAACACTGGGCTGTGTGTTTAGCATGGCCAACTGGTGTGAACGGGCCCCTAAAGTTTATTAGTAAAACAAAGATTGTATACAATAGTGAAACAAAAATGATATAACAGAAAATATAAAAATAAAAAAAAATTACACAATTTACAATAACGCACAAAAAAAAAAAAAAAAAAGTCAAAATATAAAACACAGAAATCAGTAGGATGTGTCCCTTGTGCTGATGACTCTGGTGGTAGGTAAACTTTTCCTCTATCCATGTCCCCCCCTGCTATCTTCAGGAGTGGCAGGTGTTAATAGAACTAAGGGACTGTCACAGGCTATTATAAAGATTGCCTGGCAATGCCCACCCTTTGTGCACAGCTCTTCCATTCATAAAGACTGGTACTACAGCTTCAATGAATGAAACATGATCTATGAATAGCATAGGCAGACCTTTCAATCATCCACCCATCCTTCACTGATTGCTTTCCATTCATAGAAGCTGTGTACAGAACACCTCCAAGGTTGCCATATTGCATCGTTTACAAAAAATTACAACGCTGCAGATTTAAAAGGAAACAGAATTTTTAATAATAAATGATATATACTGTAGCTTCTGTCGTAATTGTGTATGTTATACAGTGGCGCAAAAAAGTATTTAGTCAGCCACCAATTGTGTAAGTTCTCCCACTTAAAAAGATGAGAGAGGCCTGTAATTGGCATCATAGGTAGACCTCAACTATGAGAGACAAAAGGAGAAAAACAATCCAGACAATCACATTGGATGATTTGGAAAGAATTTATTTGCAAATTATGGTGGAAAATAAGTATTTGGTCACCTACAAACAAGCAATATTTCTGGCTCTCACAGACCTGTACCTTCTTCTTTAAGAGGCTTCTCTGTCCTGCGCTCATTATCTGTATCAATGGCACCTGTTTGAACTTGTTATCAGTATAAAAGACACCTGTCCACAACCTCAAACAGTCACACTCCAAACTCCACTATGGTGAAGACCAAAGAGCTGTCAAAGGACACCAGAAAAATTTTTTTAGACCTGCACCAGGCTGGGAAGACTGAATCTGCAATAGGCAAGCAGCTTGGTGTGAACAAATCAACTGTGGGAGCAATAATTAGAAAATGGAAGACATACAAGACCACTGATAATCTCCCTCGATCTGGGGCTCCACGCAAGATCTCACTTCGTGGGGTCAAAATGATCACAAGAACGGTGAGCAAAAACCCCAGGACCACATGGGGGGACCTAGTGAATGACCTGCAGAGAGCTGGGACCAACGTAACAAAGGCTACCATCAGTAACACACTACGCCGCCAGGGACTCAGATCCTGCAGTGCCAGACGTAATCCACATCTGTCACAGTACCCATGATCCATATCTGTACCAGTGATCCACATCTGTCACGGTGTACCAGTGCTCATCCACTTCAGTAACCAGTGCCAGTGATCCACATCTGTGATCTACATCTGTCACCGTCGCCGCGAGCCACATCTGTGATCCATATCTGTCACCGTGCCCGTCCGCCACATCTCTCACCGTACCCGCTATCCACATGTCACCGTACCCGCTATCCACATGTGTCACCGTACCCGCTATCCACATCTGTGATCCACATCTGTCACCATAACCCATGATCCACATCTGTCACCGTACCCGTGATCCACATCTGTCACCGTACCCGTGATCCACATCCGTCACAGTGTACCAGTGGTCATCAATATCTGTACCAGTGTACCAGTGATTATTATCTGTCACAGCCTACCAGGGTTAAAGCCACATCGGTCACAGTTTGCCAGTGCTCAATATCTGTCACAGTGTACCAGTGTCAAATCAACATCTGTACCAGTGAACATCAAAAATGTCTAAAAAATTAAAAACCAGCGAGGAGGCTTTTCAGATACTGGGTATGACGGACAAGAGTAGCAGGGAACTCTCTTTTTCAGACTCAGATTTTGAGTATGAGTCAATTGAAAGCAGTGGGCCAGCAACGGATTCTGAGGAGGAGAGAGTCCAAACAAAGTGGTTCAGGAGATCTGAGGAGAACATCCACCAGTAGCGCAGTGGTGAGTACAAGCAGCGCAGCACTCCCAGAAGATTGGCAGGCATACAAGTGTAATTACCTATCTCCAGGGCCTTCAAAATTGTGATAGGTAGTCAGGAAAGGAGATGTGTAATTTATGCCTCCAGAACGCCTGTAGGTCCTACTTGGATGTTGGGCCTCTGTATGTGGCCAGGCTATGGAAAAGTCCTACGCATGTGATATCCCCATACTCAGGAGGAGTAGCAGAATGTATTTTGGGGTGTCATTTTTGGTATGTACATGCTATGTGTTAGAAATATCCTATAAATGGACAACTTTGTGTAAAAAAAAAAAAAAAAAAAAATACATTTTCATTTTTCTTTCCACATTTCTGAAAACTTGTGGAAAAAAATTAAATGTTCAAAAGACTCATTATGCCTCGTAGAATGTACACTGGGGTGTGTGCTTTCCAAAATTGGGTCATTTTGTGGGTAATTCCATTGTCCTGGTGCTCCAGGGCCTTCAAAATTGTGATAAATAGTCAGGAAATTAGATGTGTTATTTATGCCTCCAGAACACCTGTAGGTCCTACTTGGATGTTGGGCCTCTGTATGTGGCCAGGCTGTGGAAAAGTCTTACACATGTGGTATCCCCATACTCAGGAGGAGCAGCAGAATGTATTTTGGGGTGAAGCTGCAAGTATGCATATGCTGTGTGAGAGGAAAAACCTGTTAATATAACAGTTGTGTGAAAAAAAAAAATGTTAATTTACCTTCATTTTCCAAAGAATTGTGGGAGAAAATTACAGGTTCAAAAAACTCACCGTGCATCTTACTAGATACCTTGGAATGTCTACTTTCCAAAAAGGGGTAATTTGGGGGGTATTTGTACTGTCCTGGCTTGTTAGCATCTCAAGATATGAGATGGGCCATCAGTACATTGGGTTTGATCAGGCGTGTTCAATTTTCAATGATTGATACCATAGCTTGTAGACTATAGCTTCCACACAGACCAAATAATATACACCGATTGGGATTATTTTTACCAAAGCAATGTAGCAGGATACATTTGGCCCAAATTTATGAAGAAAAATTACTTATTTGCAAAATTTTATAACAGAAATGAAGAAAAATTAGTTTTTTTTTCTAAATTTTCAGTCTTTTTTAATTTAAGGAGATTATCAAATTGTGAGAGTGCTGAAAGCTGAAAATTCATCAGGGCAGGAAGGGGGTAAAAGTGCCCAGTATTGAGGTGGTTAATTAGTCTGTAGGAAAGATATAAAGTCCACAAACTATATCTGAAAATTGATCAATCCTGATGTGCTGACTGTCATCTCATTTCCTGAGGCCCAAGATGCCAGGAAAGTACAAATACCCCCCCAAATAACCCCCTTGTGGAAAGTAGATATCCTAAGGGATTTAGTAAGAGGCATGGTGAGTTTTTTGACATTGTATTTTTGTCACAATGTTTTGGAAAATTAAGCAATTAAATAAAATATGTTGTTTTTCACAATTTTTTTTAAACATACTGTCACCAGAGTAGTACAGCATCATCATATAGGGTAGCACAGTGGCAAAATGGTTAGTACTTCCGCCTGGCAGTACTAGGGTCGCTGGTTCGAATCCCAACCCCGACACCACCTGCCTGGAGTTTGCATGTTCTCCCTGTGACTGCGTGGGTTTCCTCCGGGTACTCTGGTTTCCTCCCACACTCCAAAGACATGCTCGTAGGTTAATTGGCTCCTGTCTAAATTGGCCCTAGTATGTGTATGTATGAATGTGAGTTAGGGACTTTAGATTGTACACCCCTTGAGGGTTAGGGACTGATATGAATGTACAATATATGTGTAAATCGCTGCGTAAATTGACAGCGCTATATAAGTACCTGTAATAAATAAATAAATATGACTGATGCAGCGGTGATCAGGGGTACTGATTGGTGACAGTATGTAAAATAAAAACTAAAAAATTTTAAACATTTTTAAAAGCATTTTTTTGCTTTTTTCACATACTGTGACCAGAGCAGCAGAGCGTTACCACTGTACTACTCTGGGGAAGTGATCAGGACTTTTTGTACACTATAAGTGCTTATAACAGTGATGATCACTGTTACATGCAATAATTTTTATGAATGGCATCCATTCAGTACCAGTATGAACTACTGTGATAGCTGTGATTAGTCACGGCTATCACATAGTACACATGCATTGTGATAGGCCCTGTCTGTACCATGTGAACATTGTGACCAATCAGAGATCATCACAATAGTACACAAAGAATGGCTATGAAAGAAAGACATTCATTATGTAGAACTGATATATGATCGCTGTGATTAGTCAGTGATCACATGGTACAAAAGCTGGCCAGGTACAATGATCTGTCAAGTGCTGTGTCTGGTAGCTATTTTTCACATTATGCCCAACAGGAAGTAGTAATAAATAGTGTGGCGGTGCTGGGCGCCGCTCACATAGCTGCATCAGTCATTCACACAGATCTGTGAATTAATTAACTACAAGTCCCATTTTCCACCACAACAGACAGCTGATAGTTGTCAATGAACTGCAAGGGTACTAGTGAGCGCTCTCATAGTTCATTGATTCTTCCTGGACTTCAATAACTGTCTGTACTGGCAGAGCTGAGCTGAGCATCTGCAGGAGCCTGACACTGCACCCGCAATCAGTGCAATGCTCTTAAC